GCTCCAAATTAGTTACTTTGAAAGCCTGCTGACAATGAGGAATTTAATGAAAGTCCAGTGTCCTATGCACACAGGGTGTGAAATGGACTGTTCGCTAGATGTTCCCACATGACTGTACTTAGCTCATTATATACTGGTAAGGACCATCAAAAGGAAGGAGCAAGAGCAAACAAGTTTCCACCACCTAAATAGTGAATGGTGTTCAATCCATGAATAAATGTTGAAGTTGCTTCTAATGCAGAGGTTTTGCATGTCTGTTCTGCTGATGGCAAACCCAAATGTTTCCCTTCTTGAAACTTACTACTTTTCATGGTTTCCCATGGCTCTGAAAAAACTCCCAGTGATTTAGCATGACATGCAAAGGCCCCCATGATCCAGTGTTAAGAGTCCTTAACAGACTTACTCAGCTCCTTAACAAGCTGCATCCTGCTGTAGACGGAGGTTTCTGTTCCGCCCAGTCCTGCACCTGTTCAGTCCCAAATAAACACACAGAGTCTTCTATTAATTATAAAGTATTTGGCCTATTGCTCAGGCTTCTTACTGGCTAGCTATCTCTTAATTATTAACCCACTTATATTAATCTGTGTGTCTCCACATGGTCTTGGCTTTCCAGTGATGCCTGGATCTCTTACTTCCTTGGTAACTACATAGTGCCTTCTCCAACTCAACCTGCTACCTTGTTTGGATTTCCTGCATGGCTAAATCCTGCCTGTCCATTGGCCAAAACATCTTTATTCATCAACTAATAAGAGAAACATATATTCACAGCATACAGAAGGACATCCCCCATCATCTCTTCTTTTATGTCTAAATAAAAAGGTTTCAACTTTAACATAGTAAAAATTTATATAAAAATAGTTATTAAGCAAGAGCTATAGTTAACAATATTTCATTCACTAACATTTGGCATAATTTAAAGAAAATATTCTATCACCTATCCTATCTTTATGAGTCTAAAGTTTTATAGGTAACTTATCTTTTATCATAACTAGGGAAAACCATAACCATAACTACCTGTCTTCAACTCCATCAAAGACCCCAGAAGGATAATATATAAACTCCAGAATTGACAGAGACATCTCATTGCCTCAACAGATACCCAAAGTTCCTCTGTAATGTTGGGGCATCCCTCTTCAGTCTATAGGCCTAGGATGTCTGGCAGACCTTTTGATAAAGCAGGAACCTTAAAGGACCATACTGTCCCTTGCCAAGTTCAGCAGTCACTTTTCTTTGTGACCTGCTTGTCCAGTTTCTTATCCAAATGACTATCCCTGCCATGTTGAAGGCAATCCTGCCTGTCCATTGGCTGAAATAGCTTTATTCATCAACCAATAAAAAGAACACATATTCACAACATACAGAAGGACCTCCCTCATCATCCAGCTTCTTCTGGTGTGTCACTATCTCAGCTGGTAACTGCTCTGACCACAGTGATTCCTCCTGCCTCTCACTTTCCGTTTGGTATCCCCCATAAGGGCTCCCCAGTCATTCCATGTTGAGCTAGGAGCCCCTTATCTGCTTTTGCAATTTTCACATTCTTTGGCTGTCATTCTGCCATTGATGTGTCTTTGTCTGTGAATTATGAGAATGGTTGGCCAGAGAGTAGCGAGGCACTGTGCCTTTAATTCTGCATCTACAGGACTCTCTGTAAGGTCTGACACACAAGAGACTTGTGTGTGTGTGTGTGTGTGTGTGTGTGTGTGTGTGTGTGTGTCTGGCAAGGCTGCTTAGTTGGTAAATGGCTTGTATTACAAACCCTCAGAACCCATGTAAAAGAGCCATATGTTATGGTGCATTTGAAATCCCAGCACTAGGGAGGCAGAGATACGTGTATTCCTGGGGCTTGCTTATCAGCCAGCCTAGCCTACTTGACAAGCTCCAAGCCAATGAGAAACCCTGCTTCAGAACACAAGGTGGGTGGCATTCATGAGGAATGACATCAAGTTTGTTCTCTGGCCTCCATACACATTTGTACATGCACCTATGCTTCACTATATACATACACAAGGAAGATGTCTTCCTAGCAAACTGTCATAGTCACTACCGATGCCTCAAGTAGAATAGTGATTACTCTGCTGTTTTTGGAACAGTGTTTCTGTTAAAGTGTTTGATTGCAAATACTTTGAAGAATAAAAGGGAACAGAAGGAAATGGAAATACCTGAAACCCTTCTGTGCGTGACAGGCTCTCTTATCCCTTTCCTGCTCTTTTAACATTTACTGCCGAGTGTTTTCTCTACATCATTAGCTTGTTGCTGATAACATGATGTTTAAAGATAATTATTATTTTAATTTATGGGAGTGTGTATGTGTGTCTAGGATATCTGCATACGGGGGCCCTCAGAGACCAGAAGAGGATATGAGATGGCCTGGAACTGGAGTTGCAGGCAGTTGTGAGTCTCCTGATGTGGGTGCTAGGAACCAAACTTGAATCTTCTGGAAGAGCATTGAGAACTCTTAACTACTGAGTTATCCATCCCCAAGAGCATGGCTTTTAGTGATGTAGGTGGCCCACGGGATGGATACACAGCACAACTCCTCTCACCAGTTCCCCTGTTTTTTCAACTTTCCCAAGGAGCTCTGGTCTCTTATGTGTGGTCATTTCTGCACTATAGAAGGTGAAAAGTCATGTTTTCTTAAATATTTTTCACATTTTATTGAGTGCACATGTGGGTGCACACATGTCATAGTGTGTGGAGGTCAGAGGAAAACTTTCAAGAGTTGCTTATTTCCTTCTACTACATGGGTCCCATTCCAGCAAGTCTCTTTACCTGCTGGGGCAAACTGAGGGCCCTTAGACATATTTAACATCACAGCTATCTATCAAAAGGTTCATGGAGATATAGAACCCCTGGGGCACCTTTTCATCTTAGTTCTGGTGGGTGAGCTGTGCTGTATATTCCCATTGGAGTTCAACTTGATCACATGCAAGAGAATTTGGAGGAGCAAAATAGAGAGTGAACAAGTACCATCAAGCAGACAGATGTTCCCTGTAATAAACATACTCAGGTCAGAGTTGATTTTGTCCTTGGTGACTTGCTACTTCATCCTTACCTCGAACCCAGCTCAGAATCCTGCTAGTTTTCCATTTTCTTTATACCTCTGCTGCTCTTCTTCTGTTTTCTCCTTCTCTCCTTCTTTGGCAACCATCATGATAAAAGCTACCCTTGTCTTCCATCTTGGTTGAAGGAAAAGTATAGCCCTGTAAATAGCATCTTTCTAGTTTTCTTATCTATTCTCTATACTACCCTACAATGATATTAACAAAGTATGATGCACTCCCTTGATTAAAACCCTTCAATGGCTTCTCATTGTAAGATAAAGACACAATTGAACATGGCCAACAAAACTCAACACTGCTTCATTCACCACCTCAATATTTCCTAATGTCACACTTCTCTTTCTGTCTCTGCTTCAACTTCAGTTATTTTTTTCTGTGTCTTGCATTACCACAAACATTTGCACACCTTGATCTGTTAGTCTATTCCCATTTTCTTTTCCATTGTCAATGCTAACTTACCCCTTTAGATCAAAATATACAAAATATATTTCCTGAGTCTTTCTTCTTCTTCTTCTTCTTCTTCTTCTTCTTCTTCTTCTTCTTCTTCTTCTTCTTCTTCTTCTTCTTCTTCTTCTTCTGCCTCCTCCTCCTCCTCCTTTTCCTCTCCTTCTCCTTCTTCTTCTTGGTTTCCTATAATATAAATATAACTTTCTTTATTTTCCATTCTTTAAAAAGGAGAGATTGGGGGAGAGGAAGGGAGATATAGAGAGTATAGAGGCAAAGAATAATGCTGGGCATCTTCCTCAGTTGCTCTCCACATTACTTTTTTTGAGACAGACTCTCTCACTGACCCTGGACATCATATCTAAGCCATATTACCTGGCCATCAGCCATGGGATCATTGTAGCTCTGCTGCTGCAGCACTGGGGTCACAGGCATGTGCACCCACACACAGCCTTTTCCCAGGATGCAGGGTGAACTCAGGTCCTAATGTTTACATAGCAAATGCTTTGCCAACTGAGACATTTCCTCCAACCCATATCCCTTTTCTTGTAGCGTGTCAGAGATTTGCTGTTAATCAGCTAATATCTGTCCTCTCCTCTAGACTATAAACCTCATGAGAGCATGGATCACATCTGTTTCCACCCAACTAGCTAAGCCCTGACAGGTAGCAAATAAATATTAGCTGAATGAGTAATAAACAGATGGGCTATCATTGCTTTGAAGCTAAATCTGTGTGGTTTATGAGGAAGCAGTTTCCTTCTGGGGAACCTATGGGGAGATACTAGAACATGCATGGCTAGAGAGAGGCCTCATCAGTTAAAAGGGTTTCATGTTCCTGCTGAGGACCTGAATTCGCTACCTACAGTTCCTGCTCTGTGGAATCCAATGCCTTTTTTCTTCCAGCCTCTGTGGTCACACACATGTGTGTGGGCATCCACATGTACAAGCACGCGCGCATGCACACGGGGTGGGGGAGAAGGATAATGCATTCAGATTCTCATAAAAGATGACATGTGGGGCTGGAGAGATGGCTCAGTGATTAAGAGCACTGATAGCTCTTCCAGAAGTCCTGAGTTCAATTCCCAGCTACCACATGTGACTTACAACCATCTGTAGTGAGATCTGGTGCCCTCTTCTGGCCTGCAGGCATACATGCAGGCAGAACACTGCACATAATAAATAAATAAATCTTTTAAAAAAGACATGTGAACCCAGGTCAATGATTTGGTAGTCAAAAGTGTTCAACGGTTGATTATTAATGCTTATGTACAGGACCAGAATTCTGAGACTGAGTCCAGGCTGGTAGATCGGAGTGTGTGTAGTTAGCAGTGCCTCCCTAGGCCCTGATAGGTCCCCAAGTTGGAGGTTCTATATGAAGGTAAACAATGATTATTCATGTTCATACTGTAATATGGAGCTGGTGGCAGCACACACTCATTTGTCAGATGCCTCTTTAAGTCTTCCCTAAAATGTGTCTTTCTCTTTTCCTCCATCTAGATTTATGGTCAACGTGACATGGGATGGCAAAGACTTGTCCTTCACTGAAGAAGGCTATCAGGTGCACCCCAGGCTTGTGGTGATTGTGCTGAACAAGGACCGAGAGTGGGAAAAGGTGAGTGTGTGCAGAATGCAGGGGGTAGAGGGGGAAACACCTTCTCCCAGAGCATTTTCTGTGCAGTGGCTCTGAGCTTCCTTCCAATGCCCAGGGATGGAGAATCAGGCAGGTGCAAATGTATGGGAATGTGTAGGAATACACTTATAGTTATGTGCTGCTCTCAGGTCCCAGAAGGCATCGTTCTGGACAGATTCAGGACAGTTTAAAGATGGTTAAGCTCTAGCTACTGAAAAGCAACCGGAATGTCCACTAGAGCAAAGGTCACATTGATTGTCTTGAATCTTCTAAGCATGTACCATGCTCACTATTTGCTATTTTGCGAGCACCTTGTATTTTAATTTGCTTAGTCTTTTACTTTAAATAAACTAGTCTTCAAAACTCCAATGTGTCCCTGCTGTTGCTTTCTGTAAATTGTATTGAGGAGAGAGAACATGTAAGTCTCACAAAGCACATGTAAAGTATTGCATATTAGCTCTGAAACATCAACATATAAAGAAAAAAAATTGCCCCATATACTGGCACATCCCGTGTCACAGAAGAGGGACTTCATAGAATTCACTAAGCACTCAGAGATACAGTGATACCTGTCTCGGTGGCACACCTTCCTCCATATCCCAAGTACCAAGTCAATCCCATGCTATTGCATATGGAATAAAATAAAAGGATCAAAGCCCAAGGCACATCATGCAAGAACAGGCAGAGAAAGCATAAGGGCTAGAGGAGAGAGAAGAGTCCTGCAAGAGGTGGTCTTCTGAATTTGAATCACGGCTGTTGTACACATAAACTCACAGTAGCCTGGCTGCCTGCATGAACTCTGCATAAGATAAAGATGGTTAAAAGCCCAGCACGGATGAGGGGAGGCTCCGGAGGCCCTATACCTCTAGTGGAGGAGCTATTGGCATTGATAGATCCTGGGAAAGGGAGAGTCACTTTTCTTTTGGAATGTGGTCACTAGTAGCTTGCCCATACCCCAGTGGACCTCAGCACACCCATGCATATATAGGTAGCATTAATTGGTCTTAGTGAGTCACAAATAAAAATAAAATTTAAAAAGACCAAAATATAAAATGATATTGTTGACTAGTATGTCTAATTTCTAAATGATATTAACATCTTAGAGTTTATCTTTGCTTTGCACATCAAATGGAGGTGTCAGAGAGCCTAGAGAGAAGGAAGGTACGGGGAGGGGATTTGGAGAAAACACTCTATAAACAGGAGCATAGCCTTTACAGGCTCAGTGAGACTCCTAAAGGGTGACAAGGCAGCTCAGGAAAAATTTGCCTTCTACATTCGTCAGCTACAAAATATGTGCTCCTTCAAGAACATGTGAAAAGTTCACTAGTGTTTTAGAATATAAAACGAGTCTCATATTTGGCAAAAATTGAAATGGAATGGAACGAACCCTTTAATAACAGCAGTATTCAAATGAAATACAGCAATAAAGATATATCCAGAAAATGCATGTTTGTAAATTATGACACACTTCTACTTAAATTTTAGGCTAAAGGAGAAATAAAAAAGATATTAGAAAATATTTTGAACAGAATGGTAATGAAAACACAACTTATCAAAACTGGAAGGGTAAAGCTGAATATGTGTTAGGAGGGAAATTTATTGCTGCAATTCATTACAATAAAAGGGAATTTGTGGAGCTGGGGCGATGGATCTGCAGTTAAGAGCACTTGATGTTCTTCCAGAGGACTGGGGTCCAGCTCCCAGCACTCATAGTTGATGGATTGTAACTGTTTGTAGCTCCAGCTCCAGGCCATACAGTCCCTTTCCACTGACTTCCTTGGGTATCCACTCATGGCATACATTCACACAGATACAGATAAATGTACATAAGTAAAAATACAATAGATCTTTTAAAAAGACAAATTGTAAAGTCTGTAATTTATCCTGCAAAAGAGAGATAGTGACATATCTCTATAATGTCAGCACTGAAGGCTGAGCCAGAGGGATTGCAAACCACAACCATATCAGACTGCACAGTAAGATCCTGACCTTGTATCTCTGTCTCTCTGTCTCACAGTACACAGAAAACTAGAAAAAGAGCCCAAACTATGCAGAAGAAAAATAATAGATATAAGATTAACAGTCAACAGTTTAGAACACAACCTTTAGGATAAACATTGATAAAATCCATAGCAACAGTGAATATGCAAAAAGGGAAACCCAAATAATTAATACTGGAACACAAAGGTGATACCACTACAGACATTGATTCTAGGTAATAAAGAACAAACAATATCACATACAATTCATGCCAATAAATTTGACAGTGTTGTAAAATGGGAAAATACTTCAGGAAACACGATTTTCCCAAGCTGACAAGGGAAGAATTCAGTCATCCGAATAGTTTGTATTTGCTAAGAAGTTGAATGTATAACAGAAAACCTTCCCTTTTTGGTGGGAAAATGTAATCTATTTGTATTGCTCCCATTTTCTACTGTGGTGTTAGGAAGAAACTCTTCAAAGCAGATGACTTCACTGTGAATTCAACCAAATGTTTAAAAAATAAGTAACAGCAATGTACACAATTTTTCACCATCCTACTAATGGCAGGCAATAATGTTCCCTAAAAAGATAATGCATCATAGAGAAAAGGGATTTATTTTAGGAATGCATTATTGGCTTCACATTCAAAAACTAAATTGATGTAATTTACCATATTAACTGAATAAAGGGGAAATTATATAGTTATTTCAACAGATGCAGCAAACACATTTGACAAAATTCACTATCCATCTTGATAAGAAGGCCAATTCCTTTATCTGATGAAGGCTGCCTATAAGAATGCTTTAGCTAGTATCTTTTTAAATATAATATTATTTTCATTCTTTAAGAAGGCCATACATGAATGAAATGTATTTTGATCATATTCACCCCAACCCCTCCAGATTCTCTTAGATCACCCTACATGTCTTTGTCTCAACTTCATGTCTTGTTTTTAACTTTATTTATTATTTACTTTAATTTTTATTGCCTACTGAACCCAATTAGTGCTGCTCCTATACACATCCATGGGACTACACGCCTAAAGAAAACTGACTCCCCATCCCCCAGCTGCCATCAATTTTCAGTGACTCTTCAGTTAGGGGTGGGAGCTCACGAGCCCTTCCCCCATCCAGGATGGGCTGTTGAATGGTTTGGCCTTGTGCAGGCAACCACAGCTGCTATGAAATCATGAGGGCAGTTGCCATATCCTATCCACAAGACACCTTACAGCTAATACTTTATTTAGTGTTGAAATAGTGAAGACAGTTCTGAAAATGCACAGTGTTCCCTTCCCAATACTCTGTCCAAACCCTCCCATATATACCTCCTATCTCTCTTTTGAATTCATAGCATCTTTTTTTCATTAATTGTTGTTACATGCATATGTAGTAATATATATTCCTAGATATAACTGACTTAGTCTGACAACATATTTCTTAAGCATTCAATAAGCATAAAACTGCAATCTTTCAAAATAAAGAAATACTTTGCTTATATAAAAGCATTTTTGGAAATGAAAAAGACAAAATACAAATTGGAAGAGATAATACATGTATGTTATGAAGAATACATATTTAGAATGTATAAAAACTTACAAATCGGTAATAAAAAGATCAACATTATTAATAAAATAGAAATTGTCTTAGATACTTCATAAAGTTACTGTTCAAATGTTGATACATTCAGGAAACGGCTTAATCACTGATCTTGAGGGAAATATAGGTATTTGTGTGGGGGGGGTTGGTTTGACATGCTAGGCAAGTGTTCTACTCCTGATTATACCCCCATCATAGGGTCAGGCAAATTAAAATAATTTTAAGGATCCAGGTTCATACCCACTTAGTGGGTATTTATGTAAATATTGACAGTATTATTTCCTAGTGGGGGAAGAGAGTCTTATACATTACAGGTGAGAATCTAAATTAACACCAACAAGGGCAATTGTTTGGCCTGGGTTTTATAAAGAGAAACATACATAATACACACAGACATTACCACCCAGGAGTACCATCTCTAGTTACAGTACTAATGAGATGTATGTATACATCCAAATATACATATGTATGATAATGCTAATATAATTTCATTCATAAAGCAGACATCAGAAATAACCAGAGATATATTTATAAGGAAATGAGTAAATAGAACATGGTATATTCACAAAATTGATTGCTTCTCAATGAATAAGAAGGAAGGAATTGCTAATATGTATATTGATTGGGATAACTAAAAAGCATTATGTTGAACCAAAGAAGATAGAAAACAAAATATTGTAATTCATTTTATATGAAGTTCAAAAGGAGGTAAAACATTCTAATAAGGTCTGACTGCAGAATACTGGTTGCTGTCTTAAGAAAAGATTGTTGCCAAGAAAGAAACACAGAGAATTTTCATCTTGAACATTTCTCAGAATGCATCCAGCTATGGCAAGAGTTCTGTTCACTCACTGCATTTCTTTGTGTCCAACTTAAAAAATTAAGTTCTATAGACTAGGATACTCAGAACAATTTACCAACAGATTTTACTGATGATTCATATGCAATGACCCCTTCAGGGCCTAACATTACCTGGAATAACAATAGTCCTCATTTAGTGCTCATTGATTTGCTCTGCTTTTCCTCTTGATGATTTGCCAAACATATGCCTGAAAACACTGTGTATTCATTTAACAAATGAATACATGCCTTCCCCGTGCCTGACACTGTTTTGATCCTTGGAATCTATCGCTAAGTTAGAGGATAATTTCTATACTTAAGGCAGGTGATTGAAGAGGGTAGATGTGGATGAGATGGGAGTCTTTATGCTTCTGTATGCCTACAGGGAATAAAATATTATCTTCTGATTTTCCATCCAGTGCTTTCTCTTCCCTTCCTTCTGATAAACTGTCACTCACCATGTTAAGTGTCTTATGACTCCATCAGTGTATGGTGTTCCTAATGCATCTGGGACTTGACATTCTGTTTGCCTTTTGTGTATCTCTTCTTTTATTCCTTCCCCAT